CTCTTCATGTCTCCAAAGGAACTCCTGCAAAGTTTCCACAAACAATAGCCAACCCTTTCTCTGTTTCCAAGGGGAATGCAGATCAAATTTTTTCTRCCCTCCCCAAACCGCTTTGTTAACATGATGAACCAGCCATCAAACAACTTCCCATTCCTCTTCAATGTGTTCTTCCAACTTTGCATTTTCCTTGACACTATAGCCATGTGGCCCAAGTCCAAAAAAAACCTTTTAGCCAAGCTACCAATTCTCTTTGGAGGTAAACCATAGCTCTTTTATCTTCTCTAATCTTCAGGTTAATCAATTCCTTGCTTTCACTGCTTCAAACTTGAATAATTTTGCTTTGATCGAGATTTCCTTTCTCCACCTACCCACAGGTTCAAATTTGCTATCTTCCATTAACCTATAGTAGGTGATTTTTGATGGGGTGCACATGTGAGTAGGTGTATGGAATGAGGAATGAAAGAGAGTCCCACATTAGAAAGACACAAGAAGTGCAAGGGACTTATATACAAGAGTGGCCCATAACCCAATAGCTTAGGCTTTTGGGTTGTAAGTGGTGTCCATTTCTTGTGTACAAGTCTTACGTGTGTGTACAGGTACGAAGCCCCGGTTTGACGACTCTCATGGTTCGTGACTCCCCTCAAGGCCCAACGAATGGTATCAGAGCCAAAGGTTTGGCTGGGTGCAAGCGTTGGCAGATGAACATATGATGGTGACTCCCATGGCTTTGCTTCCTTTCCCCATGGTCGAGTAGTTTGCATGTGATGGCTCTCATGGCTCTACCGGTTCCCCATGGTTGAATGGGTTGGGTGAGAGCAGTTGGTGAGTGGTTTTCAAGAGCATGTACGTGGTTCCCATGATACCACCCATGGTTACGTGTGTTCAGATAGGTAGCAGGAGGTGGTAGGCTCTCTATGGTCGTGAACAAGGGCTCTTGGTGTTGTGCATGCAGTGCAGTATGGTACATGTCAAGCTTGGTGATCAACTTCCGTTTTAGGGGGAGTGGCTAAAGAAACTCACATGTGAGGAGGAGATTGTTGGGATGCACATGTGAGTAGGTGTACGGAATGAGGAATGAAAGAGAGTCCCACATTGGAAAGACACAAGAAGTGCAAAGGACTTATATACAAGAGTGGCCCATAACCCAATAGCTTAGGCTTTTGGGTTGTAAGTGGTGTCCATCTCTTGTGTACAAGTCTTACGCGCGTGTTCGTGTACAAAACCCCGGTTTGACGACTCCTCATGGTTCGTGACTCCCCTCAAGGACAAACAATTTTCAAGATATTTTGCAGGTTATTAGCATTGAAGGTTGGTAAATCATTTGAAGAACCGATAGCTTTTTTCTTGGAAGCCCCTGAATTTTCGTGTCCATTTCTTTTGCTTATCTGATTTCAGTTCCCCGGAGAACATTTGCTGGGAAGGAAGTTTCGCTAAAAAATTCTGTAGGTCTGGGAGAGAAGACACTATGAATCATTTGAGTTCTTTTGGTTCCTTTTTGTATGTAATTCTGAGAAGATTATCAACTATACAGATTTTCATTGTATAGAGGTGGTCACTCCACCCTCTTCTCTGCTTTTTGGCATTTAATATGTATATATTTTACCTTCTCTTAAAAAAAAGGATTTTTGAAAAATGATCACAATTGTATATCATCATCCCAGATGGCATATTGCGTTGTGGATCCAGTGCTTCTTCTTGCCGAAATAGTGCTAATGTGCCATACTGCCATTACTATCAATAACAGCAATTCAAGAAACTCCAAACAAGTTGAAGGCTCAAATTTAGAAGCTTAGTAAATCAGTTTGAAAAAATGCTCATCAAGATCAAATTCTTTACAGAATTGAATAATCTGGTCAGAAACATTTTCTGACTCAACCCAGAGGTACACAAAAGATTTCATAGATGAATCAATAAAAAGTAGACAAGAAAGAAAAATAATAAGAATGCATATAATAAAGAGAATAGACACAAATAATATACCTGCTGAGGTGTTACAAGCACGGCAAATCCATTAATCAAGTAATGATAGCTATAAAGCTTCAAATAGTTCTCCCCCCTCAACACCCTTCTCAAGAGAGAATCATGTACCCGGGTCAGATAAGAACCATAACGATGATCTGACCTTGAGATATTTCTGCATTAAGAAAAGAATAAATGCCGAGAACATTTAACTCAGAAAACAACCTAAATTCCACAAATGCCTAAACATCTCATTTTAAGCATTCCTTTTGGCAGATAAAATTGAACGAGACCAACAGCTCTGGTTGAAATTTGTAAGAGGAAACATCATCAAATTAACAATAAATAGCCACTAACTATGATACATAGAGAGTCAGGGTTTATGCCTAGTTGCCAGGATTAAACGTGCTCTATAACTATTGGGCACCCCGTAACCTCTACTGAATTTGGAAATAACCAACTTCTACTAAACCAAAACTGGAGGATATAGCTTTATAATTGGATTCAGTGAACTCAACTAGGGAAGTGCTTATTTCCAAATATGAAGATAAAAAATAAACAGTTACAAAAACAAAAAGTAAGAACTATTTCTTGACTCCAAACCTCATCCTTGTACACACGAAAAGTAAAATAGAAATTACTAATTTTTACAACGGACATAATGGTGAAATTCTGACAAATTTACAATTGGTCAGTCCCAATAAACCATATGAAAGAAAAAATTGTATCCATTGGATTTTCCAAAGTGCCAATGTTTTACTATACACAATTCTGTGAAGCCCCCCTCAGCCCCAAAAGCACACAGAAATAATTAAAGAGGGTCTAAGAATTAAATCTAATTAACGTACTAACGTTACCAGTTATGAACACCCATCAGTAAAAGCAAATAATTCGGTCTAATTTCCTAAATTTTCCGTAAAAAATTAAAAGAAAGAGAAATAACTAAAATCAGTCAATTTGAATTTACAACTGGCTTCAAAAAATCAGAGATCCCAGCAACATGATTTCTACTGAAATGAAGGTGAAAGAGTAAGTAATTAATGTACCCTGTTTCGAAGGGAATTACCACAAAGTCTAAAGGTAAAAATAAACAAATAGTAAGAATAAACCAGATAAAAATAAAATGAAACACAAATAGAAGTTAACACAAGACCTCAACGAAGCCATTAATTTCCACCCGAGTACAAAACAAGCCCCCTTACCAAACCAGCATTACTACATTTAAAGAAATAAAAATCCTTCATTTACAGAAAACTGTGAACAAACAAGTACCTTGGTTTGTCCAGTTTACTTATTCTCCCAGAAGCTTCATTTCTAAGACCAGCTTCTTCAAATCTCGCTTCACTACTGTAATGTGCTACAGGAGCTTGTTTCAGAGTAACAATATAAACTGCTGTAACTGAATCCTCCTGACAAAAGACTCCCATACACAACCCCAACCAAAGCACAACCGTTAAATGCATACAAAAGTAAACGCTCTCCATTTGAGAAAGAAACTACAGAAAATTCGGAAAACCCAGGAGATAAGAACCACAAAACAACACAAACTCGTCAGCAACTCCTCCTGGCCTCCATCAAAATACAATGTTTTCTCCTCCCCCTGTTCAAAAACCGACAAGAAATAAATCTTGCAGAGGAACAAAACCCAACCGACAAGAGGCGAATGTTGCAGAGGATCAAAACCCAGAAAAACCAGAGGCCCTTCTCTGCTATCTAAACATATCCAAGAAGAAAAACTGCAACACCCATAAATCCTCCATAAATAAGAAGCCAAAATAACGAAAGGAAACGGAAATGGGTTTCTCGTGAGAGAGAGAGAGAGAGCACCTTTTTGTTCTCCAAAAGATGGCACCTTAAAGTAGTGTGTTGTTAGCTGAAGAGAGAATCTGCAACTTTCTTGGTTGCTGTGACTGTAAACGTTTCAATTTCTTTTTTTTTTCTCTTTTTTAAAGAAGAGGAAGAAGTGAACGTTTTCTTTATTTTGGTTTTATTCTTTCTCGACTGTTTTACTCGTCTTGTAGTGGAACAGTCAGCACAAGAATCAACCAGATTAAAAAATTCAAATAGAATTAAGAAATAGACACAAAGGAATGAGAAGAACTCTTTTTGGCTGGTGGGTTATCTGAGAAATGATGGCGAAGATGATGGTCACTGGTCAGCCTCTTTTTATTTGATGGTTCTAGTAGTTCCCAACGTTCTAAATTTTTCAAAGAAGGTGGGAGACAGCGAGAGATAAAAATAGCTTTTGTATTTTGATATTTTCTTCTCTTCACATTTTGTTAATATTTTGACTATCTTTACCCGTGAATACTTTGGAGTGTGGGTTTGGAGAGAACATTGAATTGGAGCATATAAAAGGTGGAGATGGTGGCTTGGTGCTTGGTGGGAGTGTCGTGGGACGGTGGTGTATTGTACACTATATGGTGGTGCACATGCAAAAGTGCAAAATCAAGCAATTCAGCAATAGATGAGGTTCTTCTTTCCATTATTGGAATCTTTTTTTTTATCTTTGCTTTTGATTGAGTACAGATTATTTGAACTTTTTTTGTATAATTTGTGGGGCCATGCCATCATACAACCGTTAAATCTGTGGAATGTGGGCCCACTTTAAAGTTCCGATTTCCGAGAACTTCACAAAATACCCCCTTTTTCTTTTGGATTGACCCTAAAATGGATCCATTTCTAACCATCTGATCAATAATATGAGTATCATACGATGCTGAATTCTTGTCATTGGCAAGATCATCGGTGGATTACATCATTACAAGGTGAACGAATGACTATGATCGGTGCGTCAGTAACTTCTGCCCACCATCTGAATCTATACAGAGAAACCACGTGGTTTTGTATTGTGACTTACCGTGTTGGTGCCTTGGTGGTGGGAATAAGGTGAGGTGGCAACTATTTCACAGTCCGTAGGGCCAACCCGTGATTTTGCAGCACCAAAAGTGTCAGAGGGTAGCAGTAGTCAACTTCGTGGCAATTGGCAACCCCGCTACCGATACCGTGTACAGATTGCCCAGACACTAATGCCCGTTTGGGAGGATTTCACTTTTGCTACGACACACTGTCTCGGTTTTAGCGCAGAGTTAAAACGGAAATTCATAGCCCTGATCTATTGCAATAGTCCCATCAAGAAGTCATTTCATCTAAAGACACCTGAGAGCAACTCATTTCCTATTAATAAATATATAAGATAATTAAATATATATAATTATCTAAATATATAAATATATAATAGTTATTATAAATATTATTAACAAATAAATATTGAATTATTAGAATAGTTTTGATTGTTTTTTTTTTTGTCAAAACATGCCAATTGTTCGGTTTGAATGGTCGAACCGTTCGACCTGATAATTGGACCCCTGACCAGTTCGGTCTTCGGGTTGGTTTAATTAGATATATATAATTATCTAATTATATAAATATTGTTAGATATATAGAATTATATAAATATTGTTAGATAATTAGATATATATAATTATCTAATTATAAAAATATATAATAGTTATTATAAATATTGTTAATAACTAGATATCGAACCATTCAAACGCTTTTGACCATTTTTTATTTTTTATTTTTTAAATTTTTTTTTGTTTTTTTATCAGAATGGGCCAGCCATTCGACTCGATAACTGGACCCTAACCGGTTCGGTGTCCAGGTCAGTTTTAAAAACCATGATGTTATGTCATTCGAGCGTGTAACTCATACGACTTGAAATGGAATTGTTCTGACCACCGTTTTTCGGGTCGATGGTTCGAACGGACGGCCCGTTCTGACAACAAATATTAAAAAAATAAAAAATAAACTGCCAAAAACCATTAAACGGGTCAATGGGTTGATGGTTCAACCACTCGGGTCAATGGGTCATTGACTGATTCAACAGTTTTTTACCAGGGACCGGGATTGGGGTAAAACGGAACTGGTTGCCTGGACGATTCCCAATTAAAAAAATAAAAAAATGGATGACTCGTTCTGACAACAAAAATTATAGGCAAAAAAAATGAGTGTATGAGGTCTATTAAGACATACGTGTTATGTCATTCGAGCGTGTGACTCATACGACCTGAAAACATAACCGTTCTGGCCACCAGCTTTCGGGTTGATGATTCGACTGTTCGGTTCAAATGGATGGCCCATTCTGACAACAAAAATTAAATAAAAAAATAACCAAAAACCATTGAATGAATCAATGGTTCAACCGCTCGAGTCAATGGGGCGTTGACCGATTCAATGATTTTTTGTTGGGGACCGAGATTAGGATAAAACAGAACCGATTGCTTGGATGGTTCCCAGCTAAAAAAATAAAAAACAACCAAAAAACATTGAACAAGTCAACGGGTCGATGGTTCGACCGCTCGAGTCATTGGGTCATTGACCGATTCAACGGTTTTTGGCCAAGCACCAGGTCAATGGGTCGATGGTTCCATTCCAGCCCCTACAAAGCAGGGCTCCTCCGCTAATATTTAATTAAAACTAGTGGAGATCCGTGCGACTCACAAGATTTGTCAAAAATAATAAATATGATAACTACAATATTGATTAAAATAATTGATCTTTATTTTACAAAAATAATAAATTATTGTTAGTTCCTTAATAAAATAATTATTTTTTCCATATTATTTATTAGTATTCTATTTTATCTATTTTACTTTATTAACAATTAAATATTATAATTTTTGTAAATGTTACTTAAATATTAGTAAATACATAAAGTTAGGTGTAGTCGTAATTAAATTTATCTATAGATTAACTTTTTTATTAATCATAATTAAATTAAACCCGAACTTGAGATTTAAGAATTCAAGTTAGGCATTGGTTGATCATCAACCTGACCCAATCCCCTAAGTTGCAACCCTAAGAGCAATTTGACATTTGTAATTATCTGAACCAAATTGAGCTATGGGAGATGGGCTACCCCCATTGTGTAGCCCAATGAATCAAAAACTGAAAAGATATTGGACCAGATTTTCATAGTGTAGTAATAATTTTATAGGTTGCCTAGATAGATTTTTAATATATTTTTTGTAATAAATTAAAATTAAATTAAAATTTTAATTTATAAAAGAAATCATAGTTTTATGCTTAACACAGGCAAGCTTGTCCCTATTCTAGGCATAGACAAATATTATTACACTTTGGGTGTGGGTCGAGTTGGGCAAGGTTGTACTTAACTAATGACTATATTTATTGAAAATACTATTAATTAATTACAATATTTATACTATTAATTAATAAAATGTTTTTTTCAATAAATTTACTATTAATTAGTGAATAATATTGTAATTATTCAAAATACAGTATTTATTAAAATATAGTATTTTAATAATTAATTATAATTATTTAAATAAGTTAAATAATCAAATAAATACCGTAACTAATAAAAATACTGTTACTTTTCAGTATTTTTTCAATAATTTTCAAAAAAAATTGCAATAAAATTGTATTAATTTTAACTTTTTTATTACTTTCAGTATTTTAATTAACTTTTAGGTTTTTCAGAATTTTCCGTATTTTTATTTTATTTGTTGTATTTTTCAATATAATTCAGTAATTTTTTCAATATTATGCAGTAATTTTCAATATTTTTAGCATGCCTTGCATATTAGTCATTTTTCATTAATTTTCACTACAAAATTAATGCGCATTTGTTTTCAGTAAGAATACATTAAATAATTAAATAATTACCATAATTAATTTAATTAATAAATACTTCTATATTAATTTTAATTGCCTGTATTTATGAAAATACTGTAATTAAATATCGTTGATTTCTTTAATAAATACAGTTAAATCATTACTTAATATTATAGTTATTAAAAACATGGTATTCATTAAAAATACGGTATTTGTTAAAATACTGTAATTATTAAAAATACTGTTTTTAATCAATACTGTTTTAATTAATAATACTGTTATTATTCAAATACAGTATTTGATAAATAATTTACAATGAAAATTATTGAAAATACAAAAAATAATAATTTTCAATACTTATTTATTATGAAAAGTAGGCTAATTTATATTTTATTTTCCAAAATATATTTTTATGAAAATTTATTTATTTTTTATAATTTTAAAAATTTACTAAAAACTGTTATTACGTTATTCTTAAATAAAATTATTTAATACACAAACTTTCAATAATTTTCTAGAATTACATAAATCTAATAAATTTCCTAAATTTTCCAAAATTTTTGAAAAGTACACTAAATTTATAATTTAGTTTCCTAAGAAATAAATTTTGAAGTTGGATTTTTGTTGAAGTTTGTGAAAATTAACTTATTATAATTTAATAGTACATTCCAAGAAATTAAAATTTAATTTTTGAAAAATTATTTAATTTATTATAATTTAATTACGATATTCAATGTAAACTACAGAAATTTTCAATAATTTTCTATAATTGCATAAATCTAATAAATTTTCCAAAATTTTCGAAAAGTACACTAAATTTTTAATTTTTTGAAGTTGAACTTTTGTTGAATTTTGTGATAATTAATTTATTCTAATTTAATTATGATATTAAATATTTTCTAGAATTACACAAAACTAATTCTTTTTTTAATTTTCCAAATAATTTTCGTTATTAATTGCAAAAAAATATATTTTTAATTATTATTCTTATTATTAGTATAATATATTATTTGTATAATATTATTATTATTATTGATGAGGGTAGATTTGGCCCTCCACTAACATCATGACACATGGCATATCAGAACAGTTGGACTACATCCCAGCATCACCTAGGCGCAAACTTGCCTTAGCCAAAATGGGGTCCTAGCTAATGACTTGCCTTTGCCGCCAACCTGGCGACCTACTTCTATTGCCGACTTGGCGACATGCCTCTGCCGCCGACCTGGCGACCTACTTTTGCGGCCGATCTGGCAACCTACCTCTATCGCCGACCTAGCAACCTGGCGATCTGCCTCTGTCGCCGACCTGGCGACCTACCTCTTTAGAAGCTTGCCAGTTGTGTCCAAACCCTTCAGAATCACGATGCGTAACAGTAGGCCTTATCTTCATCCCGCCTGAATCGGAGGGAAACGACAAGCCTTATTAATTGGCACGTTATCCTCCTTCCAAAGCAGAACGGACCCCTACGTCGTTGGCCGAGGATTCCGGTAGCGTTTTGCGAGACCCATGACAACCCTACTATATAAGGGCATCAGCCCCTAAGACCCAGGTAGATGTGCAATTTAGTTCTCGTAGCTCTCTAGC